AGGCTGAGGTGGGAGGATTGCTTGAGCCCAGGAGGAGGAAGCTGCAGTGAGCCATGATCCTAGCACTGCACTCCAGCCTGGGCAACAGACCAAGACCCTGTCTCAAAAAAAAAAAAAAAAAAAAAAAAAAGAAAGAAGAAAAAAGTGAAAGCAGGGTCACAAATCAAAGGGAATGATTTGCACTTTCAACTAACACTGGGGTAACCAGACCAGACATATCCTCTTGCCTGAAAAACTGGCATATGAAACAGGAATTTTCAGACATTGGACAGCAAAGCAGAGCGATCCCTTGAAGAGGGAAAACCAGGGAGGTGAGCCCTAGGATTGCCTCTGCTTACTTCCTGGAGAGTTTCCAGGATTCAGTGCAGGGATGGGGAGCCAGGGGGAGCCCAGCTGAGAACTGATGCCACTACTCCAGGATAGGAGCATTTACACCACAGAAATTGGCAAACTATAAATCAGGGGGAGTTTGCTTTCAAGAGACTTGGTTGTTAAACCTTTACCAATACACTGCTAATGGTTTCCCTGCTCGGTTCCCTACCTCTCTCACTGTGCCAAGTGTGATTAAATTAGGTCATATGTGTAAAGTGTTGAGCACAGGATAACATTTGGTTAAAGCTAAGTGGTGGAAAAAACCCGAGAAGTACTTGCATTCAACAACTTAAGATTCAGTCCTTCTGGGGCCAGGTGTGGTGGCTAACACCTGTAATCCTAACAATTTGGGAAGCCAAGGCAGGCGGAATGCTTGAGCCTAGAAGTTGAACACCAGCCTGGGCAACATGGTGAAACCCCATCTCTACAAAAAAAGTACAAAACTGGCTGGGCGCGGTGGCTCAAGCCTGTAATCCCAGCACTTTGGGAGACCGAGGCGGGTGGATCACGAGGTCAAGAGATCGAGACCACCCTGGTCAACATGGTGAAACCCCGTCTCTACTAAAAATACAAAAAATTAGCTGGGCATGGTGGCGCGTGCCTGTAATCCCAGCTACTCAGGACGCTGAGGCAGGAGAATTGCCTGAAC